TGCCACCTGAAGAAGCCACCGTCGAAGAAGAAACTCTACTCAATTTTGAGAAGGGGAAATGGTGAAGCTCCTGATGAAGTTACTACCACTGATGTGCTGATGTGACTGTTACCGATGATAGGACATTTACTGATGAAGCAGATGAACTCTATATAAAGCAGAAGCCAACGAGATGGAGACCAGTACAGAAGAAGATACGTTTTGTAAAATTAAGAGACTTTGTTGAATTGTAATTTTGTGTTTGTAATTCTGTACATTTAATTAAGTTATTGTTAATTGTTATTGGTTTAATGTAAGTGGCTATTGTTCAGGACGAACAATACTAAGGAGGGGCAGTGTTGCGTCAGCGAGGTCACGTGACTAGTATCACGACACGCCCTTCTCTCGAACCTTCGTGAATTATCGGGAGACTACTAGATTGGGGGGTAGTCTGGTACATATATATATAAGACAGTCACAACATGACGGAACGAGGTAATGAGTAATTGAACTGCAGTCAGAGAGTGTGTAATTGAATTGAGTATTGTTGAAGTCGAGCACGTGTGACGTTCGTTGAGAATTATAGTGCTACTGTTGAAACTAAGTGTATTGCAAAGTTATATTCTGAAAGAATAAACCAGTTTTATTTAAGAGAAGACTTGTGTCGCTAAAGTTTCGTCGGAACGAATTTACGGAAAATTAAGTAACGAACGGAGACGTAACACCTAGTTCAAATCAACATCTACCTATACATTTTTTTGTGATATCCACACACTGTGTATGTTATTTTTTGCTTTTACAACAAGAAAAGCTAACATAAAAACAATAACTGTAACACATTTTTTGCAGTTCCTTTCTCAAAATTTAGCACAGACATCAAGTTTGTTTAGTTTTTATGTATTATCCTTTCTTCAGTGCAATACTTGGAAAGAAGTACATAGTTAAATAGCTGTGAAGTTGCTGCATTTAACATGAGAGTGTTTATATATCTTCAAAAGCATAAGAATAGTGGCATTCCTGCATTTGGAATGGCCATGATATTACTCAGATTTGGCAAAAAGTTTGGTTCTATATACAGAATCACTACAGCATTACTTCCACCTAATTTGGCTGGCCACTACAGTGCCTGTAAATAAAGGCTTCTGATTTCTTTGTGCTTTATTATGAAAAAATATAAGATGTGAAGACAAAAGTTTAACATTTGGAATAAGGTTAGGATTAAGTTATTACTTTTTAGTTTTCTTAAGTAGGTTATTGATTTATGGAATGAGTTGCCATCAACAGTATGGTGAAGGCCAGCATTTTACAGTAGTCTAAAATAAGAGGGGGGGGGGTTAAATGTTTTTTTTTACTTTTTGCAAAAGTGGGTGTGAAAATATAGCCTTGGTCCTTTGTTCTCTATCTGTTATGTTAGTGTTACTCAGGACTATCATTAGTTATATATGTATAACTTATGCAAGTTGTAGAACATGTAGATAAAGAAATAACATACATTAGTTATCATTAAGTAGTATGGATGTTACATTAAGTTTTCCAAATAATCCAAAAAAAAATCAAATTGCACCTTTCTTCCAGTATAATGAAGGAAGCAAAGCTATTAAATTTTGGCATTTTATAACTTTCTTTTATAGGAGCAACTTGTTTTGAGATTTTACCTCTCATGGAGTGATTCAAAAATGTCAATAATTTAGTTGTATAATGTTACCTGGTGATACTCATATTTTATTGTGTTTTTTATGATTATCCATAGTATATACATCAGTTTAAGTAATAAAGGCAAACTGATGTCTTGAATATTAACTGTCTTTAATTGTTATAGTGAAAACTCAGTACAGGGATGCATTTATAATCCTATTAAATGTACTTTATCAGAAATATTCAACTCCAGAGTGAAGTTGTGATATTATAATAAACATGAGCATGGAATCACACAATCTTTTTCATGAAGTTCTTTTGCAATATAGTTATTTCTTACAGATACAATCAAGACCTTGTAGACTATCGATTATCACAGCCTTTCAAACTTGTTATCCATGTCTTGTTCAAGTATTTAATCAATGTCTTTTATAATCTGTTTCTAAGTATGCTTATGATAACTTTGGTATCATTACAATTGTTTCACAGGAAGCGACAGAAGTCCAATGGAGAGTAACAGTATTAAGGCTGAGTAAGGAAGATCTTGTGAGACAAAAGACTTTGACACAACAGGAAGCTGTTCACACACAGCTTTTGAGTTTTTTTCAAAGGTTTAGAGTGAGTTAGAAATTAGCTGTTTCAAAAATGCATACTTACATTAATGAACTATATACTATAACTTGAAAAAATGACCTGTATTTATAAAACATTCAAATTTTTATTTCTCAATATTTGATTGATCTAGAATCTAAAATTAAAGAACTTAGAAAACATGCTTTTTAATGCAAACATATCTATTTTCTTAAATTCTAAGGGAAATGATAATTGCTAACTTAACATATTTTGAATTGTTGAAAATTGATATATTTATTTACCAATAATTGTATTCAAAGTAATTAATAAAACCCTGTAAGCTAACTTAAAGAATACAAAATGTGAAAATGTTTTGCAAAATATTTTATAATTTTAAATGAAGGGTGATAAATTGAGCTTCACATTTATTTTTGTAATTTAAACAGCTTGTCAGCTAAATAATTTAGAAGAATAACATAGGTTAAGCTGTTTGATTAACATGCAATTCAGGATGCATCTTGCATATCTACAAATTTTTCTTAGTGCATAACATTTCTTTGCTATCCACACTATCCCAGATGTTGAAGTGTTTAGAAGTGACATTTGTGTCACAGTCCTGTAAACAGTGGCAAAAGATGGATGATTGATTATATGCTGTGTTTTGTGCATGCTCTTTAATATGTGAGCTCAGACAATGTATTGCAGAGCCCACATAGCCAAAGTTATACCTTGGACATTTAAATTTATATATGATGTAAGAGTGATGCATTATAGAAATTCTATCTTTGTATTCAAAATAATTACTTAAATGAAACATCAGCTTAAAGACAATTCTAAACTTAATATGTGGATAAATTTTATTATTCATAATAGATTTAATTTTTTCCCTTAATTCTATAGAATTATTAACAGTAAATGGTAAAATGTAATAAACTAGTTCTTTGATTTCAATCTGTTTACTAATTTTTGGAATGTACAAAACTTTTAAATAATTCGTAATAGCACTATCAATTAATTGTACAGGAAAACTATTTTTTCTGTAAAACAACCTTTATGTTTTGTATTTCTTCACGGAAAAGAGAAAAACGAATGATCTTTAAAACATGTTAAAGTGGTAGAAAGGTACAGTCTTGTGGAATTTTCAGCAAATTGTTTGGGTATGTAGCCTTTTGATTTTACATAAAAAGCAGTATTACAAACAGTACTGGGAAAAATGCAGAAATTGGTTAGGAGGAATAGTCTTGTGAAATTTTCAAGACGATTGTAGGGTTGTATGGTTTTAACATTAATGGATTTTAATTGCATGTATATTTACTGTATTTTCTTTTTTTCTTCTTTTTTGTGTAATGCTGTAATTTTTATATTTTATATGTCTATGAAAAATAATGTATATAATATCACTTATTATATAATTATCTTAAGACTACATTTTCTTAAAAATATTTATTTCATTGGTTCATATAATTCAGAAGAGATATATTAAAGATGTGTTAAAAAAATTTAGGAATGCTGATAAACTTTACTTAAAACTACAGAAAACATGATTGCATGAAAATTTTTAAATGAGTGTGTACAATATGCTTTGGTTCCAAAGTTTTGAAGATTAAATTGGGTAATTATAATTTAAGATCTAGTAAATATTATAGATTTTCACAAAAGAAGTTCTTAATTTAGAATTAACATATAAACTGAAATTATATAAACAGTTGTAAAATAAATGGATGAATGCTGTTAAAAATTTGAAAGAAGCTGTCTCAAATTTAGATTTTATACCTTTCAGTAATGTGATTGTTTATCATAAAAAAATAAGATTTTTTTAATGAAATAACGTTAAAACAAATAAAGTTGTATAAATTAAAGAGTGAGAAGTTTAGTGTGCTTATGTTCTTAGAAGATCCTAAAAAGGTCAATATAATCTCTCAGATTATCAGTTAACTCAAGCTGAAGAAAAGGTATTACCACAAAGTTTAAAGTTTTCAATTACTCCTAAAAATTGGATTATGTAGAATATTTTTCTAGTTTTGAACAGTTAGAAAAGAAATTAAAATGCATACCAATAGGTGAAGAAAATGTTTCATTTGATAACATAGTTACTGAAATTTCAGGTTTAGCAATCTCAGGATTCTACAGTTTTGACCTGAAGAATGTTCAAAAGAACTTATCTAAAGAAGAATTTTTGGCTTTAAAACATCTTAGCTCACTTGATAATTAAGTAATTCTTAAACTGGATAAAGGGAATAGTGCAGTAATTTTGAATAAAAAAGATTATGTAGATGAAGTTTTAACCATTGTAAATGATAACACTAAATTTGAGAGATTAGAATTGGATCCTACAGTAACAAAAGAAAGATGTCAACAGAATTATTTGTTAAAAATTAAAAAAAGAAGGTTTGGTATTAGATGTCAACTATAATAAAATTAGACCAGTTGTTTCTCATTATGGAATATTTTATGGGTTACCTAAAATACATAAATTGTCCCATTAGACTAATTGTGTCAAGTATAGGTACCTTCACTTATAGGTTAGCAGGTTTTTTTGGTAGATTACTTTGAATCTCATGTAACTAATGAATTCAAGGTAAAAAATAGTTTTGATTTTTCCAAAGATGTATCAAAACTGGTTTTTGACGAACCTGTCTATATTGCCATTTTGGACATTGAGTCCTTATATACAAATTACCATTAAATGAAGTAACTGAGTTAAGTAGTAATTTAATTTTTCAAAATTCTGATGTTGTTAGGGGTATAACAAAATCTGTATTTATAAAACTATTAGAATTTATCACCAAAAAGTCTTTTTTTTTTTAATGGTTGTCATTACAAACAACTTAATGGGGTGTCTATGGGTTCAAGTGTTGCACTGTGTTTGGCTAATTTATTTTTACATTATCATGAAGGAACCTGGTTAAAAAGTTGGCTAGAAAATTATAGTTTTTAAGAATGAACCTGATATTCAAGAATTTCAAAATTATCTGAACAATCAACATAACAATATTAGATTTACAGTTGAAGAACAAACAGCTAATAGTTTACCTTTCTTAGATACCAAGATTGTTAATTTAGATAGAAGTTTTAACACTAAATGCTATCATAAGCCAACTTTTACAGGACAATATTTTCATTTTTGATAGTTTTTTACCTTTTGAATTTAAAAAGAACCTAATTCATAATTTAATTCATTGAGCTTATAACATAGTTAGTTCTTTTTCTCTTTTCATGAAGAAATAAAAAACATAAAGGTTGTTTTATAGAAAAATAGTTTTCCTATACAATCAATTGATAGCGTTATCAGGAATTACTTAAGTTTTGTACACTCCAAAAATTAGTAAACAGATTGAAAAGAAAGAAATAATTTATTGCATTTTACCGTTTACTGGTAATCATTCTATAGAATTAAGGAAAAAAATTAAGTCTATTCTGAATATCAAAATTTATCCACATATTAAGTTTAGAATTGTCTTTAAACCATTGTTTCATTTAAATAATTATTTTAAATATAAAGACAGGATTCCTATAATGCATTGCTCTTATGTCATATATAAATATACATGTCCAAGGTGTAACTTTGGTTATGCGGGCTCTACACATTTTCTGAGTTCACATGTTAAAGATCATGTGCAAAACACAGCATATAATCAGTTGTCCATCCTTCCTTCACCACTGTTTACAGGACTGTGACACAAATGTCAGTTCTAAACACTTCAACATCTTGGGTAGTGCAGATAGCAAAGAAATACTATGCATTAAGGAAAGTTTGGGGATACAAAAGATGCATTCTGAATTAAATGTTAATCAAGAAGTAACATAGTAGTGTAAATGCTGCACATTCTTGAAATTACTATATAAACATAGGATCACTTTGTGAGTAAAAGACATTTCAAAACCCCATAGATATACATTCCACTATTATATGAAATCTAGTTATATCTTTTGATTTTCCCTTATCCATGATTAATAAAAAGTGGTGGAAACTGGTGCAACTTAGTAACAAGTGGGAAGATGAATGATAGATTTGGCTTCACATTTATCTTTTATTATTTTAAACAGTTTTTGGCTGAATAATTCACAAGAATAAATTAGTAGTACAAACACTGCATATTCTTGAAATCCCTACATAATCTCAAGGGAGGTGATAGAAATTGTCCCAATAATTATAGGCTTTGGTTTATTAAATATTGTAGATTATTCTTGGCAAAATACTGCAGTAGGTTTTTTGTTTCTTACTGCAGGTTGCAGTGCTAAACTAACTCGAGTAGGGTTTAAGTAGTAGCTGTAAGAAAACAGAATGCATTGTAATTACAATGAAGATTATTTCTGTATATATATATAGTCAAAGTAGATTAGGAACAGAAAGGCAGGTCAATAAATTCAACTACCTGAGAAACTGGTTAACATCAGATGGTAACTGTAATCATGAAATAAAAAGGAGATTTGGGATGGCAAAAGACACCTTTCTGAAAACGAAAAAGATACTGACAAACAGTAAAACTTTTATGGGGCTGAAGCTAAGAGTTTTGGATTACTATGTCATACCAATTCTCATGTATGCGTTAGAAAGTTGGACAATATTGCCAAGTGTGGAAAACAAAACTAAAGCAGTTGAGTTTTGGTTCTTATGGTATATCTTGAAGGTATGTTGGACAAGTTATACCTCAAATGAAGATATTTTGTGAAGAATAGATTGCAGAGAGAAGCTACTGATTAACATCAGAAAAAAAGAGTTGTACTTTCTTGGACACAATAAAAGAAAAGAAGGAATTATACAAGTCTGGTCATAACTAAACAGATTGAAGGAAGGAGAAACCATGAAAAACAGAGGTTGAATTATGTCAAGAGTCTATCTAAATGGATGAATATATCAACATTGGAAATTCTTTGTGCCTCAAGGAAAAGAAATTTGTACAAACCGTGATTACCAATGTCCTGTTTGGATATAGTACTCAGAGGGAGTTATAGGTCTATTAATCTTACATCAGTAGTGGGAAAAGTTTTTGAAAGTCTGATAAAACAAGCTTTGTAAAGTGATATAACAAAGTAAGTATGGT